GCAACGACAACGAAACAAACGGCTTCCAGGCACCGGCTACGACGCCCTCGAATTTCTTACGACCGGCCGGGGTCACCGGGGTGATTTCGTAGCGCGGATCCGTGCGGGCATAAAACACGCGGCCCCCGTCGATCGGGAGAGGGAAGCCACTCCCGCGATACTTTTCGACTCGCCGACACTTCCTAGGGGAGGCCGGAGACGCGTGTACACTGTCATCCGCTTGGTGATTTAAAAATAATTTAGCTCGTGTTTATACCTTGAAAGTTCTTTTTTTTTTTTTTTCCAAAGAGGATTCCTTTTATATATATTGTTGAAATTTTATTTTCCGTTTTCGTAACGCGTCGAGTCTCGTTGAATTATTACGACAAAGAGAATAATTGTACGGATAAGGAGAGAAGAGGATAATTTTAGAAAAATTGCGCGACCATCCTCTCGAAGAAGAGAGTCGAATCGATCGATGACGCTTGACACGAGATAAGAAATTTTTGTATCTCCGATAATTGGCGATGGATATGGTAAATAATTAATTTTTCGTCAAACGACGAATTCTTTCATCGAAAGATCCACTTATCACGCACCGACGAAGATCGCTGTCAAGATCGAATCTCCCACTCATCTCTCGATCCACGATCGGGGAAAATAATAGAGCTTTCGATCGAACCTTGGTACCAGGTTCGACAAGACAATCGATATCAGCATTATCAGGGACAAAAGAAGATTCGTGAGGTCACGCGAACCAAGTCCAAGTTTCTCAAGGGTCAGGCATCGAATTCACGCCTAATACAATCGCGGACGGCGAGATATCTTGATGTTGAACAATAGAGTGACGGGAGGAGTGACACCACGTGTCGTCCCACGTATTGAAGCACGTTTCACGAAATGGGCGCAGAGGGAGTCGAAAGAGAGAGAGAGAGAGAGAGAAATAGCCAGGCGTTTCGTCAAAAACGAATCCAATCGAAAGGAATCCGGCTGGCCGATGAACCCACTCGGAGACGAGGAACCGTCCAATCGTAACAGATTTCTCAATATTTCTTCTGGCTCGATCGGCCAGAACGCCTTTGGAACCTTTCACAGCCGTTCTTTTCTTTGATCCCTTTCATCGATCCGAACGGCCGGACCTCACGCGCATGGTGAACTCCGGTATCACGGTGAGCATCGGTTTAATCCCTCTCGACTTCACGAGGCGCTCGTAAAACGACATCATAATTCCCTTTCAATGTCCTCCGATGTAACCCAGCCTCGACCCGATACACTCGTGCTCTCTCGTTCATCCGATGTTTCGTTTCTTCGTCCCGTGTAATTTCGAGGGGGGACGATCGAAATGCGATCCGATCGTCGTTGCTCGATTTGTCCATCTTTTGCTTGAGATCGTGAATCTCGCTCGAGTCAAAATTTACTTTTGAAAGGTTTACAATAATTACGGACAACGATCGTCTCCGATCGATGAATTCAATTCCGGAAAGAAGAGAAACCACGCTCCCCCGTTTCGAACGAAAGATTCCACACGCCTCGTGAAACTTTTCAATTTCCAAGAACTTGAGAGATCCCGAGGTAGCTCGGCAATCCCGTTGACCTGCCGTATGCGAAACTTTTCTCGCGATATAACGTCTCTTTCCGCCCACCTGGTATCCCGTATCCGAATGGGAAACAGAGTTGATTCATACTCGGTTTCGAGTTCGAGACGAAGCACGATAAATCGTCCCGTTGCAACGTCGTCGTCTCTCGCTGGATTCCTTTCGCGCTTCAACCTCGTTCAACGAAACGGTTCGGGATGGGGCACATAAAATTAAGCCGCAAATAAAATAACTCGAAGGTGTTCGCGTTTATGTCTAGGATGCCATGAATCATCGCACTTAAGCTAGTGACGTTTATTGTCAGGGATAACGTTTGTCATACTAGACGGAGGTGTATTTCGTCGCAACGAGTCGGACAGGGTTTGACGACGTGTCGGCGAAAAAAAAAAGGGACGAGAGGTTTCGGTCCGTAGAGGCTTCGTAGACTCGTCCACGTAGGCCAAACCGCTCGAACCATCGTCGTAAATCTGTTATGCTGACCGGTGCCCCAACGCAGATGAATTAGCAGATCGCGATCGTAAAACGCTTACTTTTTTT